TAGATGAGGAGGAACAAATAGCTGCAGACTTAGTCGCAGGCTTTCATCTCTTACCTACAATTTCACACACACCGCTTTTCTTGTCTCTGAATTTGGTGGTAAAGCTTGGTCTGACCTGATGTGGGGCTATTGATATATTTGTGTGTTTCTCCTTTTCTCATGTGGTAGGAATATGAATGTGCTTGATTATGGTGTGTAGCCCATTTATGTCGGGTGTGTTATATGAAGTATATAGTATTTTGACCATGTTACCTTTCTAACACCTGAAAAAAAATTTTTTTAAATATATATATTTTATTGATTTTTTTTACTGAGAGGAAGGAAGAGGGATAGAGAGTTAGAAACATCGATGAGAGGGAAACATCGATCAGCTGCCTCCTGCACACTCCCTACTGGGGATGTGCCCGCACCAAGGTACATGCCCTTGACCGGAATCGATCCTGGGACCCTTCAGTCCGCAGGCTGACGCTCTATCCATTGAGCCAAACCGGTTAGGGCCACCTGAAAATTTTTAAGCACCCAAACACCTGGGCCCAGGAAATTTGGGTAAGGGGTTAGACATTGATAATTACTCCTGGGGTTAATGCCATGAAAGGCAAGGACAGGGAATGTGAGTGAGCATCGACAGGTCCCACGATAATCTTGTGTAGTGATTGGGTTTTCCCTGAGGAGTGACACCGAACTGCCAAAAAAGTGGGACGAGCTTTGCAAAGGCCTTATTATATAGGAAAGTATTCTCATTGATTGATTGGAGCAGGTCCCAACCAGACTTTCTGCTTAACAGTCAAGCATGCGTATTTCCATGTGTTGGAGGTAACTGCTTGGTGTGTGTAGGGCTGACAGAAAGCTTGCAGGCCAGTAAAGGAGCTAGGTTAAGTCTACAAGTGGAGTGTAAAAGTATCCCTATTTGATAAACAGCCTTCCACCTACACTCCTTGGGCTCCTGCTTCACAATATCCTACTTAATGCCGATGAGTTCATTGTACAAATGTGTATTGAGTGCTTGCCCTGAATGGGGCTTTGCGCCAGGGAGGTAGGCTCTAAGATGAGTGAGGTATGGCCTGTGATTCTCAGACACAGTGTTACGTCCAGTGTTAATGGACTGCTGTATTTATCCCACTGAGTATCCGAAAGGCCTGCTGGAGACGTGCTTCCTCTGTAGGGAAATTGAAAGCACGGGCTCATTCTAGTCCTCAGGGAGGCAGTGTGGTGGGGAGACACGGGACCAGGCCTAGTCCCAGCCTGCAGAGGATCCCTGTCTTTGGTAGTCAGTGCTAAAAGGGCTCTCCTCCATCCACCAAGGTAACGTGAAGCATCTGGTCCTCTTCCTCCACGAGGCTGTCCTGGTGCAGTATGTGGACACATTCAAGCTTGCAGTGCCCTCTCTCATCTACACCTTGCAGAATAACCTCCAGTATGTTGCCATCTCCAACCTGCCAGCTGCCACTTTTCAGGTGAGCCCCAAGCCCAGCATGGCCCTGGAGGAACTGGCGGGGGGGGGGGGGGGGGGGGGGCTGCAGAGAGCGGGAGCTCTTATCACCTTTGGAATATCCAGGCAACTCCCTTGACCTCTGTTTCCTCATCGGTGAGAAATGGGAATGGAAATGGTAATAGCTACTCACTGGGATGCTGGGATGTTTGAAAGATATGATACCCGGGAAGAGCCCTTGGTTGGTGATAGATAAGCTTCAGGCTCTTTTCAGGCAGTCTTATGAAATGGTTAAAGATCCTGGATTCAGGAGCCAGGCTGTCCAGGTTCAAATCCCAGCTCGATTTTCTAGCTGTGTGATGTGTGGTGTTGGGTGAGTCACTTAAAATCCCTGATCCTTAGTTTTCCCATCTTTATTTTATTTTATTTATTTTTTTAAAATATATTTTTATTGATCCCAGAGAGGAAGGGAGAAGGAGAGAGAGATAGAAACATCAATGATGAGAATCATTGATTGGCTGCCTCCTGCACGCTCCACACTGGGGATCGAGCCTGCAACCCAGGCATATGCTCTGACCAGCAATCAAACCCTGAGCCAAACCAGCTAGGGCACTTTTCTCATCTTTAAATTAGACATTACAATAGCACGCACTTCATACATGAGGATTAAATAAATGAATTCACATGAAGTGCTTACACCCACACCCAGCACATAATTTGCTAATATTGTGTGGCAGACTCATTTTTATCAACAGGTATTGATCAAGACCTCCCTCATCATGATGTCTACCATTCTTTCATTACTTTCGGTGTGAGGTGTTTGACATACACCAGCCATATTTGACAGCAGATGTCAGGGCTCGGATAGGGCAAGTGCTTTCTCCCTCATCACACAGCCAGGAAATGGGGTTGGGATGTGGGCTTGGGTGTGGCCGGGGACTTCTTGCACAGTCAACCTCCTGTGTACCTTCTGGGAGGAACCTCAGGGCAATTTAGCCACATCTGTCAATGGGCAGCAGCTGGAAATGTTTGCTATTTTTATTGTCATCTACCCTGTCCCCGCATTGTGCCTGGGGGCCCACAGTGGGTGCTGTCCCCCATGTGCACATGTCGGGGGTCAGCGGCAGCTCTCAGTGTCTTCCACATGCCACTCGCAGGTGACGTACCAGCTGAAGATTCTGACCACAGCCCTGTTCTCCGTGCTCATGCTGAACCGCAGCCTTTCCCGGCTGCAGTGGGCCTCCCTGCTGCTCCTCTTCACGGGTGTCGCCATTGTCCAGGCACAGCAAGCCGGTGGTGGGGGCCCACGGCCACTGGATCAGAACCCTGGGGTGGGCCTAACAGCTGTCGTGGCCTCCTGTCTCTCCTCGGGCTTCGCAGGTGTCTACTTTGAGAAGATCCTCAAAGGCAGCTCAGGCTCCGTGTGGCTGCGCAACCTGCAGCTGGGCCTCTTTGGCACAGTGCTGGGCCTGGTGGGGCTCTGGTGGGCCGAGGGCGCCGCTGTGGCCCACCGCGGCTTCTTCTTTGGGTACACACCTGCTGTCTGGGGCGTGGTGCTCAACCAGGCCTTTGGCGGGCTACTGGTGGCTGTTGTTGTCAAGTACGCTGACAACATCCTCAAGGGCTTTGCCACCTCCCTGTCCATCGTGCTGTCCACTGTTGCCTCCATCCGCCTCTTTGGCTTCCATGTGGACCCATTGTTTGCCCTTGGTGCCGGGCTGGTCATCGGCGCCGTCTACCTCTACAGCCTTCCCCGAAGTGCAGCCAAAGCCATAGCTTCTACTTCCACCTCGGCCTCTGGGCCCTGCACTCACCAGCAGCCTCCTGGGCAGCCACCACCACCGCAGCTGTCTTCCCATCGCGGAGACCTCAGCACGGAGCCCTTTCTGCCAAAGTCAGTGCTGGTGAAGTGAGGGCTGGCAACGGTGTGGGGAGACAGGGTGGGGGACTGGGTGGAGGGTGTTGGGCATCTGCAGGACCCAAGTTGCCCCTAGGGCCTGGCCCCTCTGGGGTTTAAGGTCTTTTGAGACTTTGGGAGGGGCGTAGGGCTGGGCGGGCCCTTGCTTGTCCGCTGAACCCCCCCTCCCATGGAGGGGTGTTTAGAGCCACCTCCTCTGTCCCAGTCTCACCCCTTTGAGGACCAGGTTGGGGAGGGTATTGTCATTTAAGGCCTTTTTATCTGCCTCCCTCCTTCAGCCAGAGGTGTCCTGTCTCATGCCTGGGAGAGTCCCTCCCAGTAGTCCCTGTACCTTTGTAAGGACAAATTGGACAAAAATCTTACAGCTCTTTAATAATGACTGATGCCTGCCTGAGGGGTTTCATTTCCCATAGCTCCAGGCCTGCTCTCCTTCACCACCACGCTGGATCATGTTAGCAGCTCTTTTTGTGGCCTTCAGGCAGCTTCCCTGACACTGAGACCCCTGAAAGTGGGGCTCTTGTGGGAGAGGTCGGGGCGAGAGCTGAGATTTTGCATCAGCCTGGTCCAGAAATGGGGACTATGTGGTTTTTAGTGGTTTGGGGATTTGTGTAATCAGATCATTGATGATCCAGGGTATGGGAAAAGCAGGGAGGGAGGTCCCTGAAGTGGCTGAATCACTGAATCTAAGAAATACTGTCAGTTGCCAGATGCAGGGTTATTTTCTGAGAAAAAAAAATAAAGCTGCCAACCATACTCTTTGCTACCCCACTGGCTGAATGAGGGCATCCTTAATTCATGGGGGAGGGGGTGTGTGTGTGTGTCTTAAATTTGCTGAAATATGGAACTTGCCCCATGCATTCCTCAAAGCTTATTAACCCCTTAACTGTCTCCCGGGTGTGTGTGTGTATGTATGTGTGTGTGTGGGGGGGGGGGGGGGTGTCTGTGCCCGTGCGCACGCTTGGGAGATGCCTGGGCTGTCTTTGCTATGTGTAAATAGGGCCATTGGACCTTTATTTTTGATTAACTTGTTCTGATTTTTTTGTTTTTTAAGGAACTGTAATGAACCAATGTCAGGATACCTAATGCCAAATAAAGATGTTGTATTTATTTAGTCCACGTGTAGCTTTCTGACCCAGGGGACCTGCTCTCTACACAGGGGCTCTATTACTAACCCCAGGATTACCAGGCTCACTGCTGTCACCCTCGCTTGCTCAGAATGCCTGCCTGCCAGCCCACCCCAGCTTTCTGTGTTTTTCTTTCCTTCCCATTTCCACCACAGGTTGCTCATCAAGGTGAAGGGTTCGTAGCTGCTGGGACTGAAGACGCTGGCCTGGCCTCGTCCTCCTTTCTTGCCCTGGCTCAGCCAGGACCAAACTCTGATCAGTATTAGGGGTGGGGGGAGGCAGACACCGATCCCCCCTATCCCCACCACCCCCACCCCCACACAGGGCTGACATACCCACACTTTCTGATAAAGAAGGGCCCAGATAGGAACCACCTCAGACACCTCAGCCTCTAGCCCCTGCTGCCCCCACGTCCCTGCCACCCCCACAGTATTTCTTAGGTGAGTTTTTGCAAATAAACTGCTTTGCATCTTGCCACCTTGGGTTGGAAAGCCTCAAAAATGCAAGAGAAGGAAAGCACTCTGGCCTGGTGGGTTCAAGCCACTGTAAAGCTTTTATTATTAAAAACCACGAGGGTTCAGTCCTGCTGCTTGGTTCGGGAGGCCTCGGCATTGGCCCGGAGCACAGCCCCTGGGGATGGGTAGGGACGCTGCTGGAAGAGGGGCCCGGCGGCTGTCGTGTCTGCACCCGTCTTAGCCTCGTTCCGCTTGGGGAGTCCTGTTGACCAGGTGCCCCTGGGGATGACAAGAGGGTCAGGGGGTGGGAGTGTGGGATGTAGCAGGCAACCCCCTCCCAAGCAACTGATGAGGCAGGGAAGGAGAGAGTGAGGCAGAAAGGAATGATCACCAGTGCAGGGAGTCCATGTCACTTACCGGGGTGCATCTGAGTATGCGCTGGGGTCCATTGGGTCTAACTCTTCATCCTTCCGGCTTGAAACTGTGGAAGGAGGTGGCAGAACAAGGTCTTCAATGAGGGCACAAGGGACCACTTGATCACTGAGCTTCCCCCATTGCAAGCACAAATGGAGTCCACAGCTGCCATGGCTGCAGCACCTTCTCCCAAACCCCGGGTTCAGGCACTGGCATGAAGGGAAGTAAGGGCTTCCGTTCGTGCTGCGCCCCTGTGCCTGCAGCCTTACCCGGGTCCAGCCCTGCTCAGCTTACCCTTCTTGCTCTTGGGGTAGGGAGCCAGCTCTTCCCGGCGATGATGGCGCCGTTCTTTGGCCTCTTCTCTGTCCACCTTGTCATATCCACGGTCACGGTCCCTGTCCCGGTCCCTGTCCCGGTCCCTGTCCCGATCCCTGTCCCGCTCTCTTTCTCTGTCCACCTTGTCATAGCCACGTTCACGGTCTCTGTCTGATTTCTCGTGGCCCCGGTCAGACTTCTCGTGGCTCCTGTCGGATTTCTCATGGCCCCGGTCCGATTTCTCGTGGCTCCGGTCCGATTTCTCATGGCTCCGGTCCAACTTCTCCTCAGCATCTGGGGACACAAAAGCCTTGAAGTGACCTCCTATCTCCCACCTCAGAACCCAGTGTCTGTTGCCTTTGCCAGCCTCTCTTGCCTGGGGCTGGGTTGGCCTGTCTCACCTGTCCCTCCTGGACCCACTATCATTTACTGAGCCCTTTCTGAGAAATGCTAGAAGCGCGTGAGGCACCCTGGGACCTGCCAACTCACCTGCATTACTGTTCCTGAGCTTCTTAGCAGATTTGGTAACGATGGAGTTGGAGTCGTGTGGGGAGAGCCAGGACACCAGGTCTGTGTCCACATTCCAGTAGTAAGGGAGTCCGCTGCAGGGCAGTGGGAGGGAGGGAAGAAGTGTCAGCACAAATGTCCTCCCCTTGTAGCCTCAACTGCCTCCCAATCTGTACCTATACCTACCCCATGTCAGGACCCTCCAGATCCCTTCCCTTGTGTCCCCCATTTCCCCCAAGGCCAGGGACAGCACAAGAAGGGTGAAAGCAGAAGTCAGCTTCCCCACCCCCCGAAGGTCTCCAAGCTTACCAGGAAGGGTCAAACACCTTGTACCAGTTGGGTGGCAGGCCCTCCAACCGGGTGGCCTCATAGTCCACGGGATCATCATCGTAGTCCTCAGCAATGATCTCTTCCTCTGGTTCTGCCAGGACAGGCAGAGGAGGAGAGCGGTAAGTATCAGGGATCCTCATCCTACAGTTTGGGCCTGGAGAGACGCTCACATTCACACGGACATGTGTGCGTGTGCCGGATCTCACCAGCCATGGCACATAGCGCTCACAATCCAAGTCCTAGCTTCTAAACAGTGAACTTCGAGCTCTCCTTCCCGCCGGCGCCTTTCCCTTTCCCCTCCCCTTTCCCCCAGGCGCATTACCATCACCTTGCTCACTCCCAAGCTCCAAGGGCCCTTCCTGAGGCCATTTCCTCTATAAATTACTTCTTCTACCTCTATGATTTTCCAAATAAATGTTCTCTTATAGTTTGAAAAAAATAAACAAATAAATAAATAGCGAACTTACCAAAACATGTACGTACCTAAATCTGTCCTGTTCCTGGTTTCAGATAAGACAGGGGTGGGGAACCTTTTTCCTACCAAGGGCCATTTGGATATTTATAACATCATTCACGGGCCATACAAAATTATCAACTTAAAAATTAGCTGCTATATTTGGTCAAACATTTCATTAACTCACTCCTAATGCCTTGGCAGGGCCAGACCAAATGTTTTCACGGGTCTTCTATGGCCAGACGTTCCCCACCCCTGATATAAGATACAATGTTACCCAAGCCTATTTGGCTTCAGAGTTTCGATAGGGATTTATCCATATTCTTTCAGTTCCTGAGCTCAAAGAGTACATAGCAGCACACTACCAAAATCAATTTGGATAAAATGAGTTTAAACAGCAAGAAGTTTCTTTAAAAATGTCCAAATCTATTCTGCTCCCAAGCTTAGGAAGTCGGGGATTTCTGACTTCTGTATTTTTAGCAGCAAGAATTTGGATAGCAAGGGATTTATTCAAACACTGCTCTGAATCCATTCAGTTCCTGACTGGACTGACGCATACTGTTGTCAATTAACATCAGTAGACTAAAAAAGGTATATTGTCAACTCAATATCAGGCCCTCAGTAGGCCTGTCATGGACTTCAGCTGTGGATATAAATAACAATGAAATGTATATTTCAGCAACAGTATAGTGCCTGTCACTGTAGGCCCAAAAGAGATGTCAGCTATAATCATTAGTATTGTTAACAAGGTATATACCATCAGAAAAAAAATTAGGTGCACAGGGCCTGGCACCGAATAGACTTAACATAATGTGTATCCAGGCACTTAGTACAACCAAAACACATATTGATATGGTGAACAATAACCTATATAACACCAGCATAGTGCCTAGCACCGCAGTAGGTCTGAAAGAATGTTACCATTATGGTAAAGGACACAGTATCAGCATCCTGACACTCCTTTGGGCACAGGAGACTGCAGTACATGACATGTATCCTCCTATTAGATACTCTGTTATCACTTCCATGGATGGATTGAATCCACCATGCAGTAGGCCCAAATAGGTATCAGCTGTCAATAGTAAGGATGAAATGTCTATCTTCCCCGGATTCTCACCCCCACCCCATACTTGACACCCAGTAGGAATGGATGTCAGGAATCCGTATGGTTAACAAAAAAATGCCTGCCACCCCACTGCTTGGTGCACAGTAGGCCCATGTATCATACAAGTGGCAGTATCAACAACAAAGTAAGTGCCTGTCAAGCCGGGCACGTGGTAGGCTCATCTGCTCTTAGCGTTCTCACCGGGCTCTAGATGTTTGAGGATGCCTCTCTTGGCCAAGCGGGTCTGCAGAGCAACGGGCAGCGGCATAGCGAGTAGCAGGCAGATCTAGGGATGGATGGACAGACTAAAAACCAGCTCCAAAGAAAATCTGAATCGATCCTATAACCAAGCGCCTCCTCCCCAGCGAGTGCTCATCTGGACCCCCCACACCTCACCAGTAGCTGGGCAGACGAAACTGCGCTCAAAGGTGGAAGAGATAGGTGGCAATATTAGCAAAACTCTCACCAACCCTCCTCTTCAGGCCCAGCGCTCCAGAAGCCAGTTCCTCTCCTAGGCCCTGGCCTCGCCCATTGCCGTAGGGGGCGAACGCGGCTCCCCCACGCCACAGAAATGGTCTCACCTAACGTCCCCCAAAGACTGCCGGGTGGGAGGAACCAAAGAGCTAGGATGGGGATGCACAGGGGAGCACGTCCTCCGGCTTCAAAATATGCACGTCCCTCGACGTTACCAATAGAGTCACGCAGGTAGGGGAACGCTGTCAGACAGGTCGCATCCCTGTCGTCGCCGCTAGAATCACCAGGACCACGCGACTCTTTCCTTCCAAAGCACAGAGCTGGACCGTCTCTCCCCAAGACTGGAAATGAACTGGGCGAAGCTCAGGCTGCGAAAAAGATGACGCATCTGGTAGCCAATGAGAGTGCGCCGTTGGCCTGACTTACGGCGCAGCCACCCAATCGCGGCCCCGGCATTGGTGGCAGCTCGGGCGCCTGTGTGCGTTTACCG